TGCCCTGGTTAATATGGGATCATTTTTGTGCGCGGAGCCAGGGCGACTGTTATCCCACCCTTTATCATCGCTTCATTAACGTTTTTTGCCAAATTTGAATGCTCGTAACTTTCTTCGGAAGTTCACGTAGCAGCTTTAGTGTCCACATTTGTAATCAACCTTCGAGACTCTATTGATAAACTAGGTCTCCTTCCAAAGTTCCATGGGAAGTTCAAAGCATTTTCTGGTCAGAGACCGGGAAAAAATGAGTGGAGGCGACACACTGTGCTGCTTCATCGTAATTATTGAGGCCACACGCTTCGGGTGGTGGCGTTTCTCTGAATGGACAGCGTTTGCTAAAAAATTTATAATTCGGTTGTGAAAACGTCTATGAAAAAATGGTGTAGAAGAGCAGGATCTAACTTGCTCTTATAATACGTGAAATAGGCGTTGACCGCTCACTAATGTAAGGGCGGCAGCGTGTTTTCTGGGCGGAGTTTGCTACAGTCCTTGGTGGTTCGGTCTTGAGGTTTCCTTGACCGAAAAAGTAAGTATGGGCTCGCAAGAGAGGGGTGGGTGGAACGACATTGGCAGGTGGGAGTGCACGGAAGTTGGCCTGGTGTGGCACGCAAACCCATTATTAACTTAAAAGAGGGCCAGAGATTGAGAAATTGTCATAGAGGGGCGAGAGAAGGAAAGGTCAAAATGCCTATCGGTGGAAAACATCGAGGGGGCGGCTTGCGCAAAATTTGGTTAATTCGGTCAAGAAAGCGCCGAAGATACTCCAGAAGAAATGGAGAAAGAAACGGGGAAAAAAAGATAGTCAATACAGGGTGGGGCAAAATTACTGGTGCACCTATACGTTTTGAATTTTTTAACACTTCTTGGAGATTTTCCTGTTTCACTCGCTTGTGATATGTTGCCTGGAGGTTGCGTAATTCCTACGTACTCGAATACAAAATGGTCCGTCGTTCTGACCTACGGAGCGCGATCATCAAACTTCACAACGACGGCAAGCAAACAAGAGAAATTGTGAAGATCCTTTCCGTACCTCGAAGGACGGTTCAGAATACAGTACGACGCTATAAAGAACTGAAGACCGAAGAGGACAGGGAAGGAAGAGGACGTCCCACAACAGCTACGAGTCGGAGAAATGTGAGGCTCGTCAGAGAAAGAATTCGAAGGAACGCCAGGAGATCGATGCGCCAGATGGCGAAAGACGTTGGAGTAAGCGCGAGGTCAATGAGGAGGATTGTCAGAAGTAAGCTAAGGAAGTTCCCCTATCGCTTGCAGAAATGCCAACTCCTGACGGACATTATGAAGAAAAGGAGATTGGAGAGATGCAAGAAGTTGCTGCAGCGATTCACGGTTGTAAATACATGAGCACGCGCCCGAAGACATCGTTTTCAGTGATGAAAAGATTTTTACTCTGAATCCAGCCTTCAACTCCCAAAATGAGAGGATTATTGCAGGATCACTTGCTGATGCTACCACCAAGGCAAGACTCCAGGAAAGAGCGAAACACCCCCAGTCCATTCTTGTTTGGGGAGGAGTCACCTCTACGGGGAAGACCCCACTTGTTTTCGTTGAAGCTGGTGTAAAAATCAACGCAGAGGTTTACAAAAATATCCTGGAGGAAGTTCTCAAGCCGTGGGCCAACTCCCATTTCGGAGAAGCCTACTGGTGCTTCCAGCAGGATTCTGCTCCAGCACACAAAGCAAAGATGGTCCAGGAGTGGTGCGCCGAGCACCTGCCCGACTTCATCAGACACGACGAATGGCCCTCCAGTTCTCCTGATCTAAACCCGATGGATTACTCTGTGTGGTCCATCTTGGAGAGCAAAGCGTGTTCTACCAGACATCCAAACTTGGACTCTCTTAAGGCGGCGCTTTCAAAATCTTGGGACGAAATCGATGACCAGTACCTGCGTGCCACATGCGAAGCATTTGTCGAACGTCTGAAGGACTGTGTGAAGGCTAAAGGAGATCATTTTGAGAAGCATTAACATTTTTGTATTGTCATGTTTGTAGTAAATAATATTGATAATTAGAATTGATTTGTGAGAATTATTGTCAAAATGCCATTGAAAATTTAGTGCACCAGTAATTTTGCCCCACCCTGTATGTAGAAAAAAGGTAAAACGATAGCGGTGGGTGGAGGGTTAACCTAGTGAGCTGATTCAAGAATTGAGCTCTCATAATGCGTTTGCTAGATGGGAAGAAATGAAATCAGCAGAGCTTGACGACAGAAAGAAAGGATGTCACAGATTGTTAAAGCAACAGTCCCAGCAGGGTTTTTACCTTCGACACTAATGGTGTGGAACGATGCGCTAGCCCTAGTCAAGAACGTAAGAAGTGTGATTGAACAAAAAACTCACCTTGGAAAGCTGCTAGAAAGGGAGCTGAACGGCTCCGAAGTGGGCGTGGTTGGATCAGCCGAGGCAATTGCAGCCGATTTCCAACCACGCCCACTTCGGAGCCGTTCAGCTCCCTTTCTAGCAGCTTTCCAAGGTGAGTTTTTTGTTCAGTCACACTTCTTATGTTCTTGACTAGGGCTAGCGCATCGTTCCACACCATTAGTGTCGAAGGTAAAAACCCTGCTGGGACTGTTGCTTTAATGTTGAGAAGAGCTGAGTTCGAGTAGAGATAACTAAACTTATTGTAGAGATAGTTAAGGCATGAGTGAGAGGAATAGCAGAGCTTTGAAAGTCTACGTCAGCCACTACGCAGACTGATATAACTGCTAACATTCTTCTTGACAAGATTTCATTCAATACAAATAGAAGAGAAGAGAGAACAAAAACTTCAGGAAATCACCTAACGATAAAACATGAACTACCCTAACTATTCTGTGGAAATCATTGAATTGTTGTAATTCGATCAATTGCCGTTCGAGGAGCATTTTTGTAAAGTAGAAAATGCCCTTGCACTTCCGCTGGGGAGAGTTCACGTCCAAGGGACTTCACGCAATTGACGAATTCCTCACAGAGCGGATCAGAAGGTTGAAGACCATAAAATCTGGTGAACATCTGTAAATGAAACAGAATAGTTTATTTACCAACAGTGGGACATTCCTAGATTCCTTCATATTCATTATAAACCGTTTAGGGCCGTTCAAATACAACATCTTGCAAAACACAGCAACTGAACTCGAAAGTTTGTACAAGATCGGCGCCAATCTCGAGTAAGGAATAGGTTTTGATACATCGTGTTTTATTTGAAAAGAAGCATTTCCATCATCCATCAAAAAGCTCGTTTCTTGGTGTATAGGATTCAAGTCGTTTAGGCTTAGGAGAGTGTCTTCAATGGCAATTTGTTGTGGATCTCCGATGCTCTCTTGGCCTTGGCAGATCCATAGACCCCTATCGAATAGAGCCTATTGAAAGACTGCCTCGTATGCAATCTGTAAAATGACCCTAACCCTTTGGCGACAATGGCACCCACCGGTGGGTGCCACTATGTCGCCGCGTGGGACAATGGCACCCAATGGTGGGTGCCACCTTAAAATTTCCTTCTTTGCGCATTTGAAATATTTTTGACATTCTGGTAATTATTAGCAACCTTCATGATATCTATGTGTAGCATGCTTAATAGAAGTGTGTTATAGGAACTAATTTACACGAAATTTCAGGCATTTAGTTCGGCGGCTTTTTAACTGAGATTTTGCATTACTATACTGAAGATTAGCTACTGCTTCCCCGTCTTATCAGATTCTTCAGGTACAAGGAGAGGTTTGAATTGTATCAAAAATTCTGTTGTAAATATAAACTTTTCGAGTTTTTAGTCCTTCATTCCTTTGAAGCTTCGAGCCCCCTTCCAAAATCAGTTCGCTTCCCAACAATTTGTAATATTTACAATTTAGTTTGAAAGCTCAAATTTGTATTTATATTTTGTATGTTGCTAAAGTCAAAAACAGGATAGAAAAACTGCTTTAGGGTCAATTCTGCCCGATGTTGGGAGAGATTGGGGGGCGCCAAAAAGAGGCGTGGTCCCATGAGCTCGCTACGCGCAAATCCGCATTGTCGTCAAAGGGTTAAGAGCCCATGCAAGAAGAGTTAGATGAGGATATTCTCCACAACAAATCTAATAGTGCCCTACCAAATGATGGGAAATGCCGGTGAGAAATCAAACGTTTGAATGAGTTCCCGTAAAATGATGAACGAATAAGGACAGTGACCATTCATCGCCTCTTGGGATGCGCCATGCGCCCTGCTTCCGATAGGGAACGTCGCAGCATTTGAACAACTAACACACGACCAAGACTGCTCAAATGAACCGATTACAAAAAGGTGTAGGCTCGATGGATTTGCATGTATCCGGCCCTAAATTTGACCCCTACCGTGTGCATGGTAAGTTGCTCCGCTTGCCACGACATTATCACTTCCACATCTCAAATGCTGTTACCTTTTCATATTCAACACTATCCGTTGATTCACATGCGAGTGCGAATTTCACCATTGCAGACACTGTTTTTCTATTTATTTCCCGCTGATGATCGCAAACCTCTACTCGTACAGCGGCGAGCTGCGTGCTCCGTTCAAGTGCATACTTTAGGTATTACGGCACGGACCTCTACAGCCGTCCGCTCCAGCCCTAGGAACTTGCTTTCGAGCATCAAAATCGAAGCGATATGATTATAGATAGCGCATCTTCCCCATGTAGGTGATTTTGTACTCAGCTATTCGTGAATAGTCCTCTAACCAAGTCAAGGACTTTAATCCAGAGAAACTTTGCAAGCACAGCTTTCTCACAAGATAACGAAAATAATAGGGCATGCGAGGCGCTGGCACTCTTCGAAACATGCAAGTGTAGAAGAGGAATCCAGGGCTCCGAAATTCATTAACGATGGATTAGGAACGTTGCTGAATACTGCCGAGGAATCCAAGACAAGGTAGGCTGGCAGGACACACAATGAAATTTTGAAGGTTACCGATTGCATTCCTCAGCAGTCATGTGACTGTAAGTCCCTAAGCCCCTAAAGCAAAAGCAAGCCCTATGGTCACACTTGTTCACCAATTAAAAATGAACTCCATATCCATCGAGACCGAGCGGGGTGAATCTACTAGGATAATCGGACACTCGACAAAAATAGCGATATGATGACGGGTGATTGATCGAAGCGAGAGTTACCTTCATCGCCATTCCCTCAGTGACGTTGCCAAAAAATTGTTTTTTGTCCACTCGACCAGGGCGTATTAAAGCTGGGTCCAAGCGATCCACATGGTTTGTAGTCATAAATAGTATTCTTTCTTCAGCGCAGCCCACACCGTCAATAGAGTTCAAGAGACCAGAAAAAGTGACTCTGGAAAACGTCAACTGATTGAGCTTATCACACCTACGGCAACCTTTTGACGGGGAATCGTTGGTTCCTGTGCTTCTGGTTCGTCAGAGATTAAATGTAGTTTTTTTTTTCAAGAGGATTTGACCAACCTTGTCATCCCTTGGTAAGCGGGGTGATTATCCATAGGATCAGTTCGGGTACCGAATGCAGCATCAACATCTTCTAGTATAACTACACTGTTAACGGGAGCGGTGTTAAGGAGATGGTTCAGTCTAAATAAGATTATTTCGTTGATATAAACTCATAATCAACAGAGGGTTTCCAAACCTGTCATCATCAAGTGTCCTCTCGCTAAGAGATAGCATGCAAATACTGTATCCAAAGTGGCTTGCTATAGCAGAGATAAAACTGCTCTTACCCGTACCAGGGGGTCCATAGAACAAATATCCACGTCTGTAGGGTACACCGCGTTCAGCATACCTGGCAAACAATTGGTTTATCTTCACACGAGACCACTATTGTAGCTTGCCTGAATGACCTTCTCTGAATCCAACTTTATTTACCTTTCAATATTCAAAAATTGGTCTCCCTCTCGAAAACTGTCCCAAGATAAGATTTCGCCAAAAATTTGCATTTGAATGTGGCTAGTGGCTTCCGGCCGTAAACCCGAACACTAAACTTCTTTCACACGAAAGCACCGATCCTTGAAGCAAGTATTAGCGTCCTCGCGCAGAACAAACCGGTGCCCGTTTTGAAGGTCAAATTACCTACCATGCAAATTTTCAGAGAAGTCGATGGTTGTCCTTGGCACCAAACGTTTTCGCGACATATTATATTTCATATTTTCACAAATATGACATCGGTGTCATTTTCGTGTTTCCCAGGTCTAATTTCCCCCACAAACAAAGATCAACCCAACTCTACTCGTTGGACAGGTCGGAAAAACTATCCATTCTCGTAGGAAGGCACAAAAGGGAGGGCGCTCCGAATTGGTTTCAATGGAGCAAAACTCTACCCCTTAGTCAAATCAAAAGAGCAGCAGAACCGTACTCACTACTTGGCCATGAATACTAGGGCCTGACTTTGGCGCTATTTCACCACAATCCACGATAGTAAACTACACCTTCCCTGAGAAATGTCTAGAAAACCAACCTGGATTTGTATTAAGAAAAAAGGCTCACCATTGTGAAGAATTCGTGAATTCTTGGAAATCTGCCACAAGCTCTTGCGCAATATTGCCGTCCAACACTACCGAATCAATGTCTCTCTTCCGCCTCGGAGCGCCAAATCGTAACCATTGAGGGCCAACGGCTTGATATACGACTAGTCCTGTTTCAGTCTAACAGAAAGTGACCAATTCCGATAAGTGTAAATACAATGAGTATCATACCTTCGATATAGCTTCCTGTGATGCTTCTTCGAGGAGATTCTTGAAAAAAGAAGTGTCCGTCCCCAATGTTGTCAGTGTCACAGTTTCGAAAGGAGTACGGTAGCCATTCCTCTGAATTGTTTGCTTTTCTCGTTGACGTTCTACCTTGATCCATCTACAACTTGTTAAATAGAATTTCGACTTCCTCCACTGTCACAAGACCATAATTGAAAAGTCTAGCCAAACGTCAAATGTACCTATATTTGTGCACAAAATAATGCTGGCCATGACCGGGCAAATACGATATTTTCATTGCAGTCCTTCCGCTTTCTGCTTGTGAAATTGTCGTGTTAACAGAGAGGTTCCTAGTTTGCCTCGCACTCCTTCTATTTATGAAGTCCAAAAGCCACGGATAAGCACTGAATTGCGCAAAGCTATAGAAGTAAGGTTGATTGTTGAGTCAGAAACATACGCGTCCTCGTTGTCGATTTGGAGAGAAATCATGAATCTTCGCCGAAAATACGCATTGCCAATCACAGCACTTCTACGGAGTACTCCCAAAGCAAGACCTGGAAAACACTGAAAATGGATTGTCTGAACCACTCCCTACTAACACGCTCTCAGCAAAATTGAAATATCATCATCAGATTTACCACATACTCGCAAGAACTTTCAACACCCACACTCACGCTCACCATTCGGTAAGTGCGCCAGTCTTCCAGGAAAGCATAACAAAAAGAAGCGTACAGAACGCTCTTGTCACCAAACCTACCACCACCTCCCAAGCGATGTTAGGAACTGCTTGATCGTCAGATTTCCAAACTCTTCAACAATCTAAAACTGGGAGAAATTGAATAAGACCATTTATTCCAACCTATTCCAGCTAGACCGGCTCCAGCGTTGAAGTATGGATTTCCTTTCAAGGTCTCTGTAAGTTTTTGAGATAATGACGGTGTCTGGTCCACAGAGTTTGAGGGCAGCGGCAACTCGCCACCGTCAATTGAACCCATAGCTGAAAATATCAACTTACAAGTAAATTTTTTTTCGAAGTTAGTCAGGCAACACCTCGATCATGCGGGTCACTGCAAGCACTAGGTTAGAGGAGAACTCGCTTGAAAACGAATACTACTTACACATCGCATAGTCCACCCTAGCGCCGATGTCAGACTTTGTGAATCGAGCGATTCGCTAACGTCCGTGGTCCCGTTGCAACCAGCAAATCGCTCGATTTGCAAAGTTTGATATCGGCCTAAGGCTTGGTCCTAAAAGTGAGTGTTACCTAAACCCGTGAATCACCAAATTGTATGTCCCACACAAACATCATAATGCAGTTTTTCCAAAAAGCTACGGTAACCTCGAGCCAGGGAGAGTGTATCCAGTCTACGGGGGTGGGGCGGGAGCAGGGTCAACCGTTACGTTGGACCGATATT